CAAAGTGAAGAGCTAAAAAAAAAAAAAAAAATGTCTTTAACTTTTTTTTTAAAAAACACCTAACAAATTCGAAATATTTTCGCAAAAAATTTTTTCTCCTCCAAATTACGGGGGGGGGGGGGTAAACCACTTGAATTTATCAGGTCTTACCTATGTTAGCTTGAAGTCTTTTCAAGCTTTGTTCAGTACGTTGATCGCAATTGATGTTATCTTTAAATCGATTATAAAAGTTGAAATCAGCAATTGACTTTGATAGTAATTCGATTAAAAATCCCATTTCAACTCTAGCTCCGTCATTGATTCGATCAAGTCATTGTTTCATAACAAAATAAACCACTCAAAAATAATTCTTGTATTATAGCATTATAACAAGCGTAAATTTGCTTATAACAACCAGAATTCGTACAAAAATTAAAAACGCAAAAATAATTTTGTGATTTATTTAATTCACATTTCTGATTTGTTCCAAAATTTCCGCAACATTTTGAAAATAAAAGATACCAGTGGCGCCACCTACTGGATATTATATGCGTTGAAAAGGTACTTGCCCAATTGATATCATGTCCAAGTTTCATATGGATCGGATCACTGACAGCTAAGTTATTGGTCGGAAATCAACGGTCGGAAATTGAACACAGAGTTGTTGTATCGATTCGTTCTCATCAGAAAATGCACTAGTTGGAAAGAGGATAACTACACGAGATATATGAAACGAAGATGTCGATATACGAAGCATGTATGTATAGACAGTATGAGCAATCATAATAAAAGGGTTTTTGAAATATCTAATTCGTTAAAACTTTCAAAATTTATCACAAAAGTTGATTATTTTTTGTTTAAAATTCATTTTGTCACCGAGAGCAAAAGATACAAAAAAATAAGACGTAATATCTTGGCATGTTTACATCCGATCTTTACGAAACTTTTACACAATTTCAATGGGAACTCCACCTTTCTAACGCATATAATATCCAGTGGGTGGCGCCACTGGTATCTATTATTTTTAAAAAGTTCCGAAACTTTTGGAATGGAGGGTGTATATCAGGTTCAAAACTATTTTTACTAAATTTGTATAATTACACACAAATTTTTCTTGGTAATTTCATCCAAGTGAACGTATCATAGTGAATGAAGAGATACATGTGTAGGCATAGCCGCATGCGTTCAACGTACATATGACTTCACATGTAGATTACCTGTTCAAAAATACCAAAAAAGGAAACGTCACACAATGTGCCAATTTTTGGGAGAAATTCAGGCAATGAGTTACTGTTGACACAATGAAACGTCTTGAGTTGAATGTGTGCACAGACATGGAATTTTCAATTGTATGTGATAATTGTAGTGGCCCATTGACTAATTTACTACGATTTCGACGCATCCTTGAACTACCATCCGAAAATATGGATTCAAACGATTGGTTTTGTCATAAACCACACGTGACATTGTGCAATGATGGTAATGGTAGCAGAAGTCATCACCATCAACAACAATTCAATGCAACTTCCTTAATACAAAACGAAAATGATCTACTCTATGGCATTTTTTTTTGCACTTATTCATCGTACTCACATTGTTAATATTCACATTAATTCACAACATCGGATGCTGCACTGTAAGCGTTATCTCAGTCACATAGGCGAATGTGTCAGTGAGTCGGCCGTAAAATTTTGGAACTAAATACTGAATTCATTCAAAATATTGATGCCAAAATTTCAAACAGTTTATTTCACGATTCCAATTCATTATTTCAAAATTTTCTTAATATTGTTGATCGTTTGGACGTCAAACATTGAAATTATAATTCGAAGCGAATACCGTCAGAGGAACAACATTTTTATTTATCCAAACAATGACACGAAACTTGGAACCTTATCAAATGAACAAACAATCAAATTTGAATCGTGCAACAATGACGCATATTGATGGTATAAAATGTTTATTTTTGAACGGAGAAAACACCGATCCAACGCTCGTGAATTTTTAGCAGCTTGATGCAACCGTTGAACATCTACACATCCTTTCCAAATATGGAACAATTTCGCATAAACAATGGATTCTGTTTAAGTTATTTAAGTAAAGGAATTAGAATAAACGAATAAATGAAGCAAAAAAATAATGACATCATTCGTGTTTTTTCAAATATCTGCCGTTGATTGAATATACATATAAATCTTGTGGATCGTAGATATGTATTAAGTTTTTTTCTCTGCCATTGAATGAACCATTTTTTGCGATTTACGTTTTGCACTGAAATACATAATGCGTATCCAGTTTGAATGGAGTTAGACAAAGGTTCATTGAAAAATAGAGGGAGAAACAACGTTTTTATATTCTCTACATTTTTTTCCTAAACAAAATCAGTAACTTTTGTCAACCGAAATTGTATTCACGAGAATAAAGATGGATTTTTAAAAATGCTATATAAATTTAATACAAATTGACACATTTTTCAACAAAGGTCACGCTTTATTTCCGTCATAAGAAATAGATATCATGAAATATCTGATGTATCGTTTTTTTTTTTCATACATCAAAACAACTTTTTAAATTTTTGTAATTCGAAATTCGAATTTTATGCATAACTGATAACTTCCGCATACATTAACATAGTGTTTGACACAATGACAACAAAAAAATCTTTGATTATGTTTGTCTTGTTCTTCAAAACAAAAGATGCATGTATTCCAAATGTATAAACTGACTGGTTTTTTCCAATTGATTTTTTTTATTAAGTTCTAGAAGAAATCCAGAATATAAAAGGATCGACAATCGATTGTTCAATCAGTTACTGTTTCGATCACAATGAAGGTAAATTTTGAAGTTGGCCCACATTTTTGTGATTTCACGTTTATAAAAGCAAATTATTTGGTTTTAGGTGTTTATTTGTTTAGTTGTACTCTTTGTATTTGCTGATGCCACCTTGAACCTTGGATCTCTTCTTGGTGCAAAAGGCGGCGGCGGCGGCGGTGGTGGTGGTCTTTTGCAATCAAAGCTAGGTGGAAGTGGCGGCAACAACGAAGAAGTTATTAAAGTATAATGATTGTCTTACACACCAATTAGTTATATTATTTACCTTGGCTGCGAGTTCTCAATCGAATTTTCTATTGATATGCATAAAAGGTAATTCATTATGGTTCTGCTGGAGGTTCTTCTGGATATTCCTCAGGCGGAAGCTCAGGTAGTGGTGGCACTGTAAACATTTTTCTAATACCATCAAGCGGTGGTCATGGTGGAGGATGGGACTCAGGCAGCAGCCAAGGTTATAGCTCGGGCCATAATAATGGATGGTAGTTCATACTCAATAAATTAAAACTGAATGTATAATTTCTAGTGTTCGAAATAAAAGTAATTTTCAATTATCGTAAATTTTTACATAAATATTTTGGAAATTTATCATAAACATTTTATTCGGCTGCTGATCTTAGAGGCCATTGTAATTTATTCAATGAAAATATTATCCAAATGTTCAGTTTTTAATACCAGGCGATATAAGCCACAATGCACAACAAGCCTTAAAATACAGGTATTGTTCAAATAACCAGAAGGTTTGCTGAAACGTCTTTTAAAGTTTATTACGTTATATCAGTCCAATTATTTGAATCACTTAATAAACAGAAATA